GGAGACGCAGCTGGGAGTGCTCCTGAGACAGGCGCTCTGCCTACCCTGCGTGGTGATGGCCGCGTTCATGAGCGAGCCGGCAGCGCTGGCGCTGACGTCAGGGTGGCTGTCACTCAGCAGGCCCACCAGCACGGGGATCACGCCCTCCTCGCACACTCGCACCTTCCCCTCCAGAGGGACGCTGCCAGGAGCACAACCAGAGGACCTGTCACAGCGCAGGCCGGCCGGGCTGGGGTGGATCACACACGCCTCACACACAGGCGAGCTGAGCTCTCACACAGATACACAAATACACACACACTCTCACAGGTAAACAAATATACACACTCTCTCACACACATTTATACACAAATACGTACACTGGCAGGCTCAAGAGGGAGTGGCAGTTACAATTACTGCCACTAGAGGCCACTATACAGTCACCAGTTCCTTGTAAATAGCCACACCAGAAGTCACTGACTTGGTTAAGTGTGGGGAAAATTCACATTCTCTCATGGGTGTAGAAAAGGCACAGGCATCTTGTTTTTTAAGGGTGTGCCAGTGCGAGGCTGCCTTTTTCTTTTAAGTACCACAGAAAAAGAACCACAATCAAGATGCCCAGATTTTGCTCTGTGGCCTGAGTGCAGATCGCTGGGACCGATCCTTGAGGCTAGGGTGTGTGACACACACAGGGACACAAACATACACACTCTCTCACACACTTTCTCTCACTCTGCTCCTCCTGGCCTCAGGGTGCGGTGAGTTCATGAGGTCATCTGTTACAGACCCACAAAAAGCAGTCACACTGCTCCAATAAAGAGACCAATTAGTTCAAGTAGCCAATTAAGAGTGGAGGGTGAAGGAGTGGAGGAACAGCAGCGTGCTTTAACTCCACAAGTCAGCTGAGAGCAGGCTCACAGCCCGAGTCGGGATCACCGCAGTGAAGACCTGAGGCCAGAGCAACCAGGACGAGCACGCGGGCACTGACCTCAGGCCGATCATGGCCCTGGCGGCCCGCTGGCGGATGCCCACAGAGGGGTGGGCCAGGCAGTCCCTCAGCGCCAGCACGGCATCGCTGGCCAGGGCGGCCAGGGCGTCCACGCGCAGGCAGGCGGTCAGCGTGTCCAGGATCAGCTCCTGCACCTCCTCACACTCCTCCTGCAGCTTCAGGACCAGGCGCGGCACCAGCCCTGCGTCCACGACGCTGAGCGCTCCTGCACAGACGGGAGGAGAGAGACGGAGGTGTTCAGGGAGAGCAGGGGAGGGCAGAGCACTGACACCCCCACCAGGGAGGAGGGCTCCCCTCAAGGGGCATATCCCACTTGCGTTCTCTTCTACTCAGCAGCAGGGCCACGCAATCCATTAAGGTCCAATTAAATAATGAAGGCTCAACCAAGCCGTTAACGTACTGTTGGATCACTGCCTTCTATGGGCAGGGTATGGAAAAAGGCAGAGCTGCGGGCGGAGCTGGTCATTTCTCCCAGCGGGAGTCTCTGAGGAGTGCAGCAGTGCAGTCTGCGTGTGGCCCTGCGTCCTGGCTCCACTCCACTGTCCTGAGCTGTGTGCTGGGTAAAGGTGGCAGCAGGAGAGGCTGACCCCCGTGGGCCCAGCCCACAGGACCTGCACACAGCTACAGTCTGACAGCAGCTGGCTAAGTCTGCCCGACTCCATAACTGCGCTCAGCTATGTATGTTTCTCTTGCTTGTTTACAAACCCGAAGAACTGCCAGCCCTGGTTGCTGGTGGACAGGCAGATGGGGAGACCAGCGGGGAGACCGGCAGACAGACACTCAGCTGTGTGACGGGGAGAGGGGTGGTGATGTATGGACCGGGGGCTGGTCACTGCTCTTGGTTGTAGGCCAGTTAACACAGCGACAGCCCCATGGCCCCCTGTCACACAGACAGCAGGACGGCACACTCCACCATCAGCAACATGAAAAATTAGAATATTCTTCAGGACATCTGTAGTTATTCATTGAAAGGATGACACATTTTTTAAAGAGGTTCATATTCCTGTCAAAGCTTTTCCCATAATTCAGTTTCAGCTGTTTCCTGGATGTGCTGTTCCATTTCCTGTCTGAGACGCCGCTGTTGTTCTTCTGTAAAGCCTTTGATTAGTTAAACTGCAGGGTGAGTAATGAGTTTGGTCTGAGGAGGGTCAGTCAGCTCTCTGTTGTGTGGACAGTGAGGGGGAGAGTGTACTGTATATCCTCCCAGCCTGAGAAAGATGTGTATAACTGAGAGAGAATAATTCACTGTGTTGAAAACTAGGTCAGAGAGATGGGAAGCAGGCAAGCGTGCAGAGAACACACAGCCCCTCTCCTCATCTCCAATTAAACACTAAACACCACTTCCCCCTCTCCCCTCTAGATCCCTTCTCCTCCCCTGTTTCTCCCTCTCTCCCTTCACCCCCAGTCTCTTCCTCTGCTCTGTCTCAGACGTATCGTGCTGTGTCCTGCGTGTCTGTTTTAGACGGGGCCGCCTGCTCACCACACACTGAGGCCGGGAGAGACAGAAAGCACAGAGTATCTGGGACAGCAGCCAGACAGATGCACAGACACACAGGGCAGGTGGAGAGAATATGGACAGATAGCTTACCGGCAGGGAGGATTCTAGTGAAATCTAGGCAATCCCACTGTGATTGGAGCTGGGTCCCCTATCAACAGCAGCAGAACTATGTCGCTGCATGTGTGTATCAGCCAGGCCAGCTGATCTCAGTACGGAATCTGCCTGGAGATGGTCAGTCTCTGTGCGTCTCCTACAGCGTTACAAGTACTCCATTCACCCTGTGTTTCTGCTGTGCCCTGAGCACAGCTGTGTCAGGAGAAAACAGGGCTGCCTTGCCAGGTCATGAGAGACAGGGAGAGGCAGGACAAGGACAGAGAGTGATCACTATTACTGCTACTTTCAAGCACTATTAGTTCTCAAAATCAACTTAGACCATTAGCTAAAAGGCCAGGAGCAGAAACACAGCGCAGCACAAAATTCCCGAGCAGTAGAGAGGTCGAAGGGACAGAACAAAGCCCTGTCTGGTCTACTGAACAACAGTACACAAGCCCAGCCCCCGCAGGACTGCAGGACTACAAGGACTGCAAGTACAGAGCTACACTATAAACACCAGGGTGACAGAGCACTCCAGATTGAGAGAGTACTCAGACAATACACACTAGTTGAATATTTGACCAAAATAAAAAATAACAAACAAAAACAGACCCTGACGAAGTACAGGCTCAGTGACCACAGCCTGGCCATAGAAACTGGGCGACACAGGCAGACCTGGCTGCCCAGAGAGGACAGGCTGTGCTCCCACTGCCAGCGGGGAGAAATAGA